GCTCCTGTATGACACTTTGGACTGTATCCCAAATAAAAGAAAGACATTTTTAGAGTATATGGTAGAGTGAGTACTTAACATAAAATGTTAAATAAATTCCTCGCTAGTTTCTTACTTCCAACTTCAATTTATTTATATACTTAAAATAATAAAAACTATTCTTTTAAACATAATGCATGTGTAGAGTTCTTACATGTATGTAAAAATATAAATAGGTACTTTGTGCCTACCATACTTGTAGAAATTAATTACGTTTTGCAAATTCGTATACTAGCTGAAGTATATCATGAAATGCGCTGAAAGATAAAAATTTCAAATACAGATTTAGACATTCCGTAGACAAAACTTGGATAGTATCAAATCGTACACATAGTACATCCTTCAGAAGTCCCATACTCTAAGATGAACGAAGAAGAAGAACGAAGTAGATCTATTTGCTCACTTTATATTACTAAGTCATTTTACGCTGATTAGGTACTATATATTACAGTAGATATGTGGTTAATAATTGAACGCTACTACGAAATACGAAAACAACAACAAAAATAAGTAGACAAGAGAACGTGAAAAAAATTAACTTATTGTTCAATAATGTTCCGCAGACTTACTGTATTCACCACAGCTAGGGTTGGTTAGAGAAGATCTCTTCTAGAAATAAAATCACCTTTGTATACGTCCTTTGTAACATGTCATTTTTAATATCATTTATTTCTGCAGTAAATAATTATATAGTCAAAATATCACGTCAGAATTGCAGAATTGAACACTTGAAGCTCAATAGTAAATGCTTATGCAAAAGCTATGCACACAATAAAAACATGAAAGCAAACGACCTGAATTAGACTTTTCAATTATTCATTGCAAATTAACAAGTCGTAACCTAAACCTTGAAAAAGAAATTAATTTGATAGGTTTATTTAACATTGCCATATAGCTTCAAATTGGAGTCATAACGTAAAAAGGTCCTAAAATAAACCTCGATTTTCTTTTTCTCCGATTCCCTCTGTCGATTCAGCTTTCGGCTTTAAATAACGCGTAACGACGCCATTTACGTGGTTCTTGGCCCTTGGTAAATAGGTACTTTAAAAATTATAGTTAATACCCATCTACCATTCGCGATTTTGTATATACTGATAACCTTTACTTGCTTACAAGCCCACCGATTTGAAGTGATAGTTTGTTTGAGAGAATAAAGCATAAATTCAGTGATATTACTTCGGAAATTCGAATAGCAATACGCAGTTACAGATAGGAGATATGAATCTATTTACATTCTATTTTTTTTTACTATAGTAAACAAGCAGGTACAAAAACCCTACTTGCCATACGTTTTACGATACGAAAAAAACATTATAAGTACGAAGAGCGATAACTGCTAGCAATTTAGCGCTGTTTTTTTCATAATCCATTTCAGCTTTTTCTTTTCATGATATATTATTCAATCTGAATAATGCGTAGTGTGTCAGACAGCTATTTGTTATATCTCTGAACGCTGAGTAGTTGATAAAAAGCCAATTTTCAAGTGTCGATCAATGGCTCTTTCTTGATATTGACCGACTTGAACTTGAGGAAACACTGATCATTTTTTCCCCTATAGACCTTGACACATAACTTATTACGATCCGAAGATGGTCATCAAGATTTTCTTTGCAGTCACCGCACAGTATATATATATATATATATATATATTTAAGCAAATCAGTAGTAAAAATAGGTAAGTAGTGTAACCATATTTAATTATCCTGAGACCTTTTTGTTGTATGACTTCAAAAAACTCACACAATTTTTTCTATACGTTTCATAGAAACCTGCATCTCCTCCTCCATCTATTAAAAAAATAGGTCTGACTTTTTTAAAGTGTTTTTTAGACTTATTAAATATCATTTTAAAAATCTTATTTTAACAATTATTACCGTACGTTATTCATTGATAACATTTTAAAAAACGCCGGATATACAAAACAGTGACTAATTCAATAAAGTCACCTTCGTTTGTTCATCCATCTATGCGCTAACAAGGCGTAGATACCAATTTCATGTACTCGAACACGATGTTCTACTGTAAGAAGTTGGGTAGTCTGAAGACTATCCTACTTGCAGTATCAAATAAAAGTTACCATATCTTTGTAATGTCATCAGAATTTTATAGTAGAACAAATTCCAATTTTTTTTTATAATATCACGGAAGAAACTAGTATTTATAAGGTCTGTGGTACATACAGACAAACACACACATACACAAAATCTTAAAAAGTTAAGATTTCTTCCTTTTTACGTGATAGATTAAAAAAGAACAAACCGAATGATTCTGTTTCGAGAGATAAAAGAAAGGCGACTACCGATAATAAGCACTGTAAAAATTTTATCAGTCAATTCCTCCTTTGCTTGAGAGACTATAGAAATGTATACGATTGTGTAATCTATATCTACACAGAAATTATTGTTGCAACATCATTTCTTTTTTATATATTTTATTTTTTATTAACATTTCGAAATTTGTAACAAGGTTTTAAGTTTTAGATACTATGGTGTTGTAATTTATACTAAGCTGTACAAAATATCGACAAAATTAGGTGGTACCAGCCGCCTAAATATTCGAAATAAAAATGTTAAATAAAACAGAAGTAACTTTATCAACACATTATTTATTCAATTTAAGTACCTACTAACAATGTCTGTTTTGTATAATACATTCGCCAATCGATTTTACCGTCATTAGGTATCAAAGATACACAACCAAACATCTCTGATGTTATTTCTTTAGCTAATTTATATCTTCCCGTTGTGTTAACAACACATGCCATAAATTAGAACCATATACTATATATATTTATTTACATAGGTGCACTTGTATTTTCGTTATTTATGCCTTTGTGTTTTACGTAAATAGAGAATAATAGTTTTTGTTATGAATAATTCCATAAACAAACGGACTTTTTGATTGATATTTTAGCATAATTAAATTAATAACATTTGTAAATTTGTACGTAAAATACAATGTTAAATACTTAGTACCGATTGTCAATTATTAACCAAAAAGTTCTTCGTTTCTTTAAAACATCAGGACAGTTACACAGTGTGTAATCGTTAAATGTAGGGATAATTCCTTACATATAAGAAATATCAAAAACCTGTAAACCGGTATCGAAAGTACATTCGATGCCTAATGAGTAAAACGGCATTAATAACTTTTTTAAGTAGGTAAGTAAAACTAGAAATATTCCATTTTTAACGTTAAACGCTCCCACACATTTAATATGACATTCGTAGAGAGGCTTTAGTTTCCGTACTTTAAAATGTAACAATAAGTTTACTGATAACAAAACTACTATAAATAAAGTAACAAAATTTTCTTTCAATTGAATAAAAACAAAATGATGTTTATTTTTCAATAAGTACAAAATTTTGTATTCAAAGCAGCTGTTCGAAACTAAAACATCGCTACGAAATTTATTACATATGCAGAAACCCTTATCGGTAAAATATTGGTATTTCTAGTTTTATTTTAAAAAAGTTATTGATGTCCTTTTTAGATAACGAGCTTTCTATACCAGTTTAAATGTTTTTGATATTTCTTATATTTACGGAATAATGGTTTGGGCACACTTAACAATTACAACACGTATATTATGTTTTATAGCATTTACTTTCCCAATAACAAAGAGGTCTAAACATTCATGGGTGAAACAAACAAAAATTCTAGCACTGCTGACCTGTCCGCAAAATTAGTTCAACAGAGTTTTAACTTTTAATTAAAAGCGAACTTCTTGCTAACAACCTAACTGTACCCGTACAAGTCCAAGAATTAGGGATAAACCACAAAATTTTAGGTGATAAAAGTATAGGTCGAATTTGCATTTGGCAGTTGTGTGCTGTTTAAAAATTTTACACGCTCTACTCGAAAGTAAACCTGAATAAGCTCTATTAGATACAAAGGGAACTCGTCGCTACGTCGCGTTATTATTCTGCAGCACATCCTACGCAAACGAACAAAATGAAGAAGTATCATAAAGTTGCCTTAATGACCTATTTTCTTATAAAATATGACCCTCACGAGCTCCTTTGTCTCGTGGCTACATGTCCAAGTTCCCTGGAGTATTAACTAGATGGTTTGTAAGAACTTACCAAACAACGTCGAACTAATCTCGTCTCACGTTATCATCATAACTCACACACTTGTTAAGTTTTTCATATTCGTATCACTGTCCGTAATTTGTAAAAAATACTTTACGATTTGTGCTTTCAGTTAAACTCAACGCTATTCTTGCTAATAGACGCTGGTGCCCACTGAACCTATTTATTATAATGAAAGCCTCTTTCACTACATTTTTAAGTGACCACGCATGAACAGAGATTTTTGTAACATTTATTAATGATAAGTTGATTCCGTAGCGTAGAGCGTAAATAAATAATGAAAACAAAAGTAGTGTCATTCAATCATAAATGAAAAGTGAGCTAAAAAATGGGTCACATTCAGAGGATGGCAATTGCAATGTGGAGTGCACTCAAGGTGGTCGCGGCGTAAGGATAGAATGTTGTGGTGCTTACCATGAGTCATGATACCGCAGCGGGCCTGAGCAGATCGCGAGCAGCGGCTCACGCGAGCAGACTGTTGCTCACGGCCGGGGCACAGCTGCGCGCGCACTCAGTTTTGACCGCAACCCGCAACCCCCGAAGCCCGCCCACTCCGATGTCACTCACTCACTCTGCCACCACGCGCTTTTCCTCCACAGACCCTCTCCTTTGTTTCAAAACTTAATTGTCATACCAACTAATAATAAAGCCCTCGGTCAAGTCGAACCATCTAGTAATGTCCTCGTAAATAATGCAAAATCCATCCAATACATAGGTAGCTTTTATTTGAAATTTTGTAATGGACTTTCCAATAAAAAACACAATTTCGTCTTAGAACCTCGACTTAGTGCAGGTATTCGACACAAACAATAGTTCAAATAAACAAAGTAACACATTACACATATTTGTTTTAATTAAAATCAATTTTTATAAATAAAACAGTAAATTTGTCAAACACTAACCAAAATACTGAACATAATTTTGTTAATACTATTGAAATACAATTTCAGTATCCATTAAAACTCTTCTTATTTTGTGCATAGTCATATTCAAACAAAATCCCTTGTCTCTTGGATCACTCCAACCACCCTTGCTTTCAGCAAAATCGAAAATTGGTTCATCTTGTTCCATTTCTATATCTGTGAATATTTCAAGGTAAGGTGGAAATAACTCGTCAACACACGATTTTTGAGCATCAAGTATTCCAAATATTTTCTCCAAAATAAAGTAGTCTGTAACACTCCGAAACATTCCGTTGAAAGTAAGTTTCACGGCCCTTGGCACAAGGCTAGATATAACTCGGAACATACCAGCATCTCTCCGAGATACAGACAAGTAAAACAATGATCGCAACCAAGAATAATCATCGATACCACAAAACAGATCGTAGTGAGACACTATACTGTTCCATGTAATTATATCAAACGCTAATGCCGGTGAGTAGTGCTTTGAGTCCCAAGTTGTAATCATAGCCTCATACATGTTGTCGCCTGTGAGTCGGGCTCCTGAGTCAAACCCTAAGCAAACAAACTCGCAGTGATTTTGTTTTCGGGCTGCCTTGTCCATGTATAGTGCCATGTACAGAAAATCTTCCAATAAGTACACTTCATCTTCTAAAAATATTACTAGTCCTTCGTGATTTTCGGCAGAAGTGAGATTGTCGAATACTCTGTTGGCTGTCCACCACCAGTGGTGCTTTTTCTCCGAATGTGCGGGATTACGATAGTGACCATGGATATCTGGTGTCAACGCACCAATACAGTTCAGTTTTTCGGCATCTCTGATATTCATAAACTGGGGACAGTCATTGGAAGATAAACCAGGAAATTCATTTGGAAAGGCTTGCACTGAATAAGGATAAAATATTTGCAGCACACGGCAGAAATCAATTTTTTCAATTAGTTGGTTGACATTAACATCGTAGTAAGAGTGCGAGAAGATGACCAAAGCGTCCTGAATTCCTCTTACATGCTCCAAAGACATTATTAAATATTTGAGGTAAGTTACATCTCTGTCTACCAAAATAACAATAATTGGATCGCTCGGTTTGAGGTCTTCATATATATCTTGATTTAATATTGTTTCATTGCGACTTTCTATAATTTTTCTGACCTCAATGGCATCTAAAACTGTTTCAGAAGTTACTTTCTCAAATAAAATATACTTCAAAGAACTTTCGTCAATCACTTCAGCAAATTTAGCATTATGTAATTTATTTCCGCGGTACATCAGGAGCAAAATAAATATCAGTACAATCACAAAACAATTTGGTAGTATTGACGTTATAAAACGATAACTTTTTCGAAGCATGTTTAGACGATGGATCATCATCGTCTGTAGTAAAAATTAGATACCTACCTCTTGACCATTGAAAATAACGTAAAAAACAACACGTTTGAAACAAGATGAGCTAATTCACCGAAAACTATCACTTACATTTAACAAAAAATATTAAACCCATAAAAATACTAATTCGCTGACCTTGACATAATGTTTCACATTTTGTCTAAAAGTCAGAACAACGTCAGAATACGACAAGTTTTGATCAATCATATTTCAACCAAAGAGAATATAATACTATGCAACCATACTGTTGGCGAGTGGACTGTATAATGTAAGTATGTGTACGTTTAAAAGTATAATATCATTGATGTGTAGTATGATGGAAGCACCCATAGCAGCACCCTAAGTGCAGATTAAAACGCATTTAAGATGGTTACCAATTTTTAATTTAAAACTGAACCAGGCAGCGTAGCAGATGCAACTGATAAAATTTTGTAAAACAAAGACAGCCGAAACGTATTTTCTAAAAGAATGTAAAAAAAGAACTATAACTACGAAGGAGGCTGCTTCACACCTGGTTGCCAACACATATTTTGCTAAATTATAATTATTTCAACTAATTTCAACAGTCCGGTTTAAAACGAGCGACTGAACATTTTCAGGCTAGACAAGCACACGCACCAAAGCCTCTGTTTAAATTTGGTTTTGCTACAACCACCACATTTGGTAGCACACATGACTGAGTTCGTAAATATTTAAATCAGTAAGTAGTGGTAATTTATCATGGCTTTCAAATATACTTATCAATCTACAGCGAGAATCAGATAACAAACAAGGTAAGCCTCACAACGATTATATGAATAGATTGCTGCATTAGTACTTAGAACTGCGTTATATGAACCTAAGCATCCCACTGGTGCAATGGCGACGCGCAAATGCGAGTTTCCTTCAAAAGGAGGTCATAGTCGCTACAGTGGTCTAAAGTTGGTTCGGACCTCACATCTTCACCTAAGTGGTTAACTTAAATGGCCATTGGGCCATTAGTGGCAGCCACTAAACGCGACCACAAATTACGGACGAAATTTTTTATACATTTTATATGGCATTGGTGCAAATTGAGCGTACAAGCATAGCACAAACTAATAAGAGATACTACTTATGAGCATAGTAGTTATTCTACTAAGGGTCGAGTGGCCTCGCCCGAGCGACAATCAGCGGGCGTAGCCCGCGCTCGCTACTTGTGTCACTCGCCTCCTGCGCACGCTCGACCACAGTCGGGGGTTAGTTTTATTCTTTTAGCGAAATCTAGGGAGTTTTATGAATGTTTAGCGGGGAAAAATTTGGTTTAGAGAGAAATAAATATTTAGCTACTTCTAGCGTTTTTTTGACCCATATCATTTTTTATTTTTGGCTTGACTTAGCCACTAGTAAATGCGTCCAGTGGCCGCCACTATTGGCCCAGTGGGTGGTGACACTTTATGTTTCATAAGTCTCAGTCCAACATCTAGTCGCATCACATTGCTTTCCTTTGCTGTAAAGACACTTGGTACATCTACTTACCATAAATAACATCCATTTACATAAAGAGATTAATGGAACATAGTCGTTAAAGGATTACTTACTACAAACTTAAAGGTACTACTAATATTCTACAGCACATGTGTACATACCAAGTAATTTGTATTGATGATTAGCGCCTATGAAAACCTAACAAGAAAAAAGGCATACCTACACTGATATTTTTATTCTTCAAGTAAATTAACGGCAAACTACATTAACGAATATCAAAATGTTCCTAATAAACACCTAATAACAATTTAATAAAAATAGTAAAAATAAAATAAAATACATTCCACAAACTCGATAGATAGTTATAGTGACGCACGATGCAGCACGAACATGCCGCCGGCTAACATTTGCTTATAGACTTTTTAAAAAACCCGCCTTTATGAGTATGGTCTGCCAACTGCTCAATAATACCAACCTTGCAAAGAAATCGAGCGATTCGGTGGTGATTTTACACGATTTTAGAAGTACTTCAAGATGCACGGTTATTTTAAAATATTTTTTTTATTTTATTTGTCCTAAGTCAGCATACAATATGTTCAATTTTCCATCAATTACTGTAAAATATAATTGAAAATTGCTCAAGTGTGTTACGTCCGGTTGCACTGTTTTGCCGCTAGGCAGAGCCACTTGTACTACGTCACTCGTGTATCTATAGTTTCCTTCTGTTTTGAAACCCAAGCTTAGTGATTTAGTTCCTTGAGAAATATTCTATTGGTATTTGAGAAGTGTTTCAAGTATAAATCTTTAACTTTCCGAAGATGGAGAAAAGAGTCGCTTTGGAGTTACGAGGAAGAAATCCGTCACAGGTAAATAAACCCTAATTTTCATTGTATTGGAATGTTTTGTCGATACGTATTTCGTCAGGTACTTAGGTGTAAAGCATAAAAATTATAGTAATTGTGATTAAATCACAAAAAATGTCAATTCATATGATAGTCCATCTACATTGCAATGTAAATCCACGTCTAAAATTGAAATGTGGCACGATTGTATGCAGAAATTAGCCATTACAGATTGTTACGTTTCATTCATGTGCACCTAATTATTCTGCATTCTATCAATTAATTTGTACACAAATACTCATCTTCGATGTAGTTGAAAGCTATCCTATGAACTACGATGTTAAATGTTAATTTATTAGCCAAAAAATCGGTCTTATTGTAAAATTACCACTTATTGAGGTTAAGTGTTCAAACCTATGTGTACGATGTGTTATGTATTTTAGAACTGTGGAATTCGGAGGCACAAAGCTGTATAAGTAAATGCATTCCTATTGTACATACATTGCACTTTGGTAATTAAACAATCACTTAATTTTTTGTGTATTTCAAAAATAGGGCTCATTGATTATGGTTTGTCAATGTCAATAGAAATGCACAAATATTTTCTGTATATCGGTGTGTTTTAAGGGTCATTTCGATTTCAGATTATTTTTAAGGTTTCCACTATGTTATAAATTGTCTATTAAAGTAATAAAGCTAGGGAAAAACGCGTATTTGTGTTGTGTAAACTGTGCCTTTAACTACTCGTCATAATTTCGCGCCCTTTCACCCGCAAACTACGACTGCCTCGAAAACTTGCAATTAAAAGCCACTGTGCAGCTACATCGATTTACAGGCACATTAAATAGTTGCCCAAGTGAATTGCAAGTCCAATATTTATTGCACTATTTTCTGCAGTCGCATATTGACGCACGCCTTACCAATACAGCGGCCATTTTTATTGCGTCGCGATGATTCGTGTCATCCGCCATTGTAAAATAAAAACGATCCTATTTCTATCTGCAGCTACAGCACGCTCATAACAATTCGTGATAGAAACGATACATGAACACATCCCTTTTACGTTTCAATACATATTTCCGCGAAATAATCACAAATTTGTTAGATTTTAGTAACTACGCCTCTGCTTTTGACAACTCTCACCATTTTGACGTTTTGCTTGGCTTGACTTTATTAAAATCCTCATCAAGCCAGTTACAATACTTATTTATCGAATACTCTCGCTTTATGTACTTTATACATATCAAAACAATTCTAAAAATGTAACAAGTTTTTAGGAGCAAATATTTGAAATTAATTAGCCGTTTAAATTCAAGACTTCTAGCAACCTTGCTTTCATTGATACAATTATTATGGAACTACAAGTTCTACCAATATCTTCCACTGAGAAGATAAATAAACACATATGCAATATGTACCCAGTTGTTGGCTATACCTCTTCTAAAAAGTTACTGTTTTTATAGAAAAACAATTAATTGCGTATCTACTTCCACATCTACAGCAAAAAACCTAATCACAATAGCGAGGAACGAGCATGTTAGTTTTAGCTGTACGACATAGATGGCGCTATGAGTACCAAACCGTATACAAACAACACTGTCATCTGGTACAGTTAAGATCACGTCAAGCTTGACACTTTGCATTTTGGACCGTTTTTATCCTAAGCATAGAGTTGGATTTAAATCTTAAATGTCAAGCTTGACATGCTCTTAACCCTGTACATAATCTAGAAAATTTTAGGTAAATAATTTATAACGACGCGTGGCAGTTGTAAACCCTTGGATCAATGATTCTTATATTATAGTATTAGCGCATAAGATATTGTTACTAACAAATATGGACTAAGTTGTCTGTTTGAATAAATGAATTTGAATTTGAATAGTCGATACTGGCAAAATCCAAAAAGACCACAGCTTATAAGTTAAAATAAAACAAGATTTTTCATAAAAAATACTATGGCACTGTTATACTGAAAATTATACTACAGAAATAAATGAAAACTTTTTTATTCAATAACTTGTAATTACAGGTCAGGGAGTTGAACTTGGATAACTGCAGGAGTACCAACATAGTTGGCCTCACAGATGAATATGTCAACTTGGAAATTCTCAGCCTTAACAATGTGGGCCTAACCACCCTCAAGGCCTTTCCAGCGCTCCCAAAGTTGAGGAAACTAGAGCTCTCTGACAACAGAATATCCAATGGTCTGAATTTCCTCAGTGGTTGCAAGAAGCTGACACACCTTAACCTCTCTGGAAACAAAATTAAAGATCTGGAGACACTGAAGCCTCTTAAAGAATTTGAAAACTTGAAAAACCTTGATCTGTTCAATAATGAAGTCACCGCTATTGAAGATTACAGGAGTAAGGTGTTTGCATTACACCCATCACTAAAGTATTTAGATGGGTAAGCATCAGTCTAAAGTAGTCATTTAAATAAAAAAATATAAATTTGTTAACATATTTTTAGGTTTGTTGAGAATAGTTCACATTAACTTAAAAATAATTATAGTCTTTTTTTAAGACTGAGTAAAATTAAATTTGCAGGGTTGCCAGTTTTCATAAAATTTGAAATAGTCATATAGTTGTTGTTGACAGTTTTATTGATAGATTGTGAAAGAAGGTAAAATTTTGCCAAAAATATCTGAATTGTAATTGTTGCAAAGTTCTAATGATTAATATGTGGGGGCACTATAATTTTTCGGAATGAATAAGAAAAAAAATAGTATAAATGGTTAGCAATGAATTTATTGTTTCTCAAAATATTCTCCATTAGCGTTAATGCACTTTTTCATACAAATGAACCAATTTTGAAAACATTTATACCACTCCTCCATGACATTCTCTAAAACATATTTTCCATACTCTTCGACAGCCTCTTCACGTGATGAAAATCGTTGACTGCGTAACTGGTTCTTAATTTTTGGTAATAAATAAAAATCACAAGGTGCCAGGTCTGGACTGTACGCGGGATGGTTCATAAGGTCAACGTTGTTCACCTTCAATGAATTCATTTGTCTGTCTAGACGTGTGAGATCGGTCATTATCATGGTGCAAGATGATACGACGTTTACGATTATTTTTACGGAGTTTGTCACTAACCTCCGGCAAACAAATAGTCGTGTACCAATCGCTATTAACGGTACAACGATTCTCCAAAGCAACAGTAGCCACGTGTCCAGTTTTATTGAAAAAAGAAGCAATCATCTGCTTAGAGGCACTTTCCACGCGCGCCACTTTGGTGATTTCGGCTCATCTCGAAAGACCCATACGCTCGATTGCTGCTTTGTTTTGGGATCCTAACTATAAATCCATGTTTCGTCACCTTTTACTATGTCCCACATCATATTTGAAGCCCCTTCGTTGAATCTGGTAAGCATGGCATTGCACCAAGTGACGCGATCCATTTTTTGATCCTCAGTCAAATTGTCTAGGATCCACCGAGAGCACAGCTTTTTCACACTCGTGTTTGACTCATGCCTATGCCTAAAGATGCCCGAATCTCATGGTATGTCACATACCTGTCTGTTTTGAACATACGGCGCACAGCGTCGATTTTTTCGCTTGTTCCTAGTTGTCACCACTGGTTTTGTTCCCACTAGCGACAAATGGGAAAAAAATCCCGTATCTTACCAGGTGGTGACAAAATGATTCGAATGAAACAAATTCCGCTATTTATTACGTAAGTGTAACCGACGAAGTCGATAATCGATAGAATATTTATTAACTGCAATCACTAGCTGCTTGTAAGCAGACAACACTTTGCGCAATGTACTGTCATTTTACTCCCATCTTCAAAAAAAGACAGCCTATAGATTTATTATATAGTTATTATAGGTACTTTTCATTGGCTTTATCAAAAAAAATTTAATGTAAAATTTATGTATGTAAAATTTCAGTTTTGACAAAGAAGATAGAGAAGTAGAAGACAGTGATGAGGAAGAAGAAATGAATGGAAACAATGATAGTGATGAAGAAGGTTGGTGTATCATCAATTCATTATCATTTGCTTTTAGTCCAATTTACCTAGACAGCTGAACAAAATTTCACTTTATTACATTTTTTATAAATGATTACTTAGGATTAGTGTTACCAGGCCCCATGTGTTAAAATGTGAGGTAGAAAAATGTACAAAAACGGGACATATACTTTTAATTTGGAAATTGAAAGACAATTAGTTTTCAATTATGAAAATTATGTATGTTTAGTAATGATCATTGATGAATGGTAATTGGCTATTATATTTTTCTCGGGATCTGTAAACCAGGTTTTCTGGCAACACTACTTAGGGCTCATTCTGTTATTGCTAATTAATCATCAAACACCTTGAATAGATAAGATACATATCACTTAGACATAATAATCCCATTGCCACTTGTATAAGCCAAAATATATGTAAGAAAGAGTACATAGTTCTCACCTAAGAACTTTATTTCCATTTTTACCTATATAATATAATTGAAATATATTACCATGCATGACACTCTCTGAGATGGGAAAAGAACTTTGTTTATTAGATCTTGGCTTACATCTAATGGTCCTGGTCACCACCATCATCTCATTGGTTTTTTGTAATGGCTGTTTCTAAATTATCCTCTGACATCAATAAGTAATACAAATGCTTCCAGATTTTGGCATTGACCTTGGTCCTCTGGTGATTGACGATGATAGTTTATCAGAAAGACCGCCCGAGAGCAGACCCCCTTTACCTATGGTCTTGTACACTATCTATGGCCTACTATTCCACATGGGTTATTTATTGAAAAGTAAGCATCTTTGTTTGTGATGCTTCAGTTTATACAGGGTGCAGATTTCTGTAACATTTTGAAGTGAAAATGACTACCTCTACTCTAAATGAGAAGCATTTTGAATATCATAAGTTGATTTGCCCAATAATATGAATATTTACATGCAACAAGCACCTGGTGCTATCTATCTTCAAACATGTTTTTACCTATTTAAATATGTATAACTTTATGTAACTTAATTGCTCATATTGTCCCCCAAGTAAGTTTAGTGTTATTTTAGTTTTAGTAATTTTAATAAATTTGGTTTTGTGAGATTATTCTCTGTTGTTACAGGGTCAGATGAAGAAGATGACGATGATGATGATGAGGAGATTTCTCTAAGAGCAGTCTACAATGAGAATTTGGGTAAGTTATTATACATTTATCATGCATATTATGCATTTACCATTTACTATGTCAAGACAATTTGATATAGAATGTAATTTTCAAGAGTATACGCCGAATATACAGTCACTTTATTATCATAAAATCACGTAAAATTGATTTGTAAAAACTGAATGTTGTCAAATCAGAAGCAGACTGATCAGCAATAAGGCACCATATAACTAATAAGTATTTAACCTTGTCTTTGTTCTGATGTGATGGCTATTATTTAAAAAATATTATTATGAGTTCTTTATAGAAATGCAAGGATTTTTATAAATGTGTGTGTGTCCACGAAGACGCCACATGCCACATAGCGCATTAGCGAACGACACTGTTTTGAGTAGTACTTGTAAAACAATTTCAAAACATGTCCTGGATTTTGTTAGAAAATAAGTTAAGTTATAAATAAATAAATTTATGGCCCCTCAGTAAACAAGCAACCAAGATGATTAATTACATGTTAATTTGTGTTGAGCCATCAATCTAGAAATAGCACCAGTTTTTTTTATTTTTTTGTACAATTTAGTAGGCCAATTGGCTTTATGTAAGCATTGTAAATTTTGTTTCGCAAATTATTTGTAATTTTTAAATGTACATTCAGAGGCCACAATTAAATATTAACTGTAGCAATTAACACTGTGCCATGGTCTTATTAACTTTATGCTCAATTTCTTATTTTATAAAAAAAAAATATTTTAAATTTTCCATAATACATGGACATGTTTTACATTTAAAATTTGCAGTACTACGTTTGCAAATGCGTCATGAGGCCTTTCAGTACATAAATATGTTTTTAAAGCAATAGTTGTCATAGTTTGAATGTACTAGGCAATTGCATAATGATAGACAAACTTTTGGTATAAAAATTTGTGTTTGTGATTCCTATTGGATAAGTTAATATTAGCCTTAGAGGATGGAAAATATTAGCACTCAGTCGTCATAATGCTGGATAAGGTGTCCTAATCTTAGACTATGAAAGCTAAAGAACATGTTATGTGGACATATATAAATCAGACGTTATGTGTATATGATGCATTGCGACGTTGAAAACATAAACATGTTATTGTCTTCATAAACTCTAGCGTGCCGTCTTAAGCCAAAAGAGATAGCATTACATTGGTCTGTGTCAAACACGGGAATCGAAAATACGTAACGTCATCTTAAATGCCAACCGTGTCCATTTCGCAGTATATGAGGTACATGATACGGTTGTCAAAGGGAAGGACATCAAATGCCAAAACAAATGTTTTTCCAAGTGTTTTATTAAATTATTTGCATGTATTGTAATAAAATGAATAAAAATATTGACAGTGAGAACAATTAAGTATTAATAAAAATTCGTCGCTGCAGCATTACGGGATGTGGCTTTTGAAAAAGCTAAGATCGACCGAATGTAACATTGTACAGACACGTGTTTTATTTTTCTGTCTATAAATCACACAAAAGCCCAAATATCTCATGTGATTAGACATATTTAAGTAGTTTATTCATAAACCTTGCCAAATTTTGCTTTGATTTCTTCAGATTGCCTGTTTGTTTCTATATTTTGATGATTGTTGTTAACGATTATTTTGAGGTAGTGTTCTTGGAAGCGTACATATTATCGATATTCTGTTATTAAAATAATTCACTACGAGGTTTTTACTTCTTATTTTATTATTATTATTTTTACTATTTCAAGTTTACCTACAAATCAAAAAAGAATAAAAGAATGGTTGGAAATCATACCGCCGTATAATAGCGCCGAATATAATCATTGAATCAAAGATCATCTTCATTTATTCTCTTCATTTTGAAGAGTCAAATTTTGACATAACTTTGAATGTAACTAGATCACATGATAATGCAATTCCATCATTAGGTTTATTGGTAAATAATTTTATATTTAGTTTAGATTAAACAATACTCATTTACTAGGCATTATCAGTTTCTGAAAACAAAATTATCCACTCCTTTCCGATTTTTTCCCACTGACAACTACTACTAAACATTCTTATTTTATAAAGCCAGCAACACGAAGACCATATTGGTCAAACGTTGCCGGGTGAAAGTTAATACCAACGTATAGACATTAATATATGCGAAACATGTTTATACTAACATTGTCTCTTGTTACATCTCCTTTTATACCATGTTTTAAGCAAATAAAACTTTGATGACAATAATGTTATTATTGATAATATTATTACTTTCATTTATTTCCAAAATTAAATGGAAGTATTGAAGTTCACTTAAATCAGTCACTGGTATTAATTTACCAATGCATAAATACAAAAAAGCTTACACTATTTTGAATCTGTTTAAAAATTTCTCTATGAAAAAATGAATCTTGAGGTTGGAAATGTATAGTATTTATATTTCAAAGGTTTCTCTATTAGAATATTTTAGGTTATATTCCTAAATAACCTAAAATATTCCCAAATGGAATATTGATCTACTTTAATTAAATGTTTGCATGTCGATAATGACTTATCGATAGATTATGGTACGACACTAAAGAAATCCGCCATTTGTTCGTTCAATTTTTGTTTAGGTATGCACGTTCATTCCGTAGTTAGGGCAGCTCTTTTCTTTTATTTTTTTTTCATCCTGTAAGGTGTCCATACACCTTATCCAGCCTTTATTATCTATGGATAATAAAGGCTATAAAAGATAAAACAAGCAAGCCTTTATTATCCATAAAGCATTATCCTTTACTTGTTTCATCATCTGTAAAACAATTCCACGTAATATTCTTGTTTGTTCCAGAGGAGGAGAGCTCTGCCAGTTCTCTATACGAAGGCACTGACGAGGAGGAGGAAGACGATGACGACGAGGACGGTGAAAATGACGCCGATGCTGACCACAATGATAAGGCACAAGGTATAACTCATTTTACTTCAAACAGAATTGAAAATAATGTTGTTGTCGGCGCTTGTAAGTAGATTTTATTTTAAGAGGCTATACGTCACGTTGCACTGTAGTGCTGCACTATATATAGCACCGTAGAATTACTTATGAATACGCTTATAACTTTTATTATTCCTATACACAAAAAAGTCGCAATGTTAATAGCGAATGTGAATTCGGTTTTGGTGCTAAACTCTAAACGAATTAAAACTGCACTCATCAAAAGTGTCAAAGATCAAGGCATTAAAAGTAAGTTTTTTAAAATTAAATAAAAATGTGTATAAAAATTTATTAAATAAAAATATGTATATAAAACGTTTCGTGTGTCTGCATTGATGACGTACCTCTGCTTTTGTATTAATAAAGAATTTTTTATATATTTGTTAAATGTTCGATTTTTGACCTTAGTTGATCACTGACATCAGAGTGAGATAAAAGTTTTTCATCCATATTTGGTATCTTCTGATAATATCTTCTTTGAGCCATATGCCATGCTTACTCAATGGGGATTTAAGTCGCGATTGAGCAGGCCATAGCAGGACCTTGAAACTGCGGCAAGAGTATAACGACTATGGCAGTGTATGGTCGTGCATTGTCATACATAAGCTGAAATGGAGCACCCAATTGGGTCCGCAAAGGAATGACAAGATTTGATAAAATCGTTTCAGCGTAAGTCTGTGCATTGAGATACAAATTAATTCGAGTTTTCCGCCGATCCAAATACCCAACATGATTGTTCCACTACTATGCGCGTGGAGTTCCTGGCATGATTTTAAACGTTCTTGGCGTCCTGAAGTCTTCAATACCGAGTACGTCTAGTATCTGGTCTCATGCCAAAGCAACCAAAAAAATTCGTCTGAAAAAGACGTAAAAAGGCCACTCTTTCACTGTCCAATTACTGTGTTCACGAGTCCAAAGTAGACTCATGACACTGCGTACTTAGTGGCTACGTAACACGTTAACGAGAAACAGCATCCAACTTTCCTACGGTTCTAAGCATTTCTCCTCAGCTCAAGTAACGTTTTCTCTCCACATAACGTTCCTTTATTTTGATTCTACACTGAAATATGGGAGAAATGGTACTATTTTGGTCTCAATCCCGTCTCAGGATGTATAGGAATAACACTTGATAGAAGACATCATTTGACCAAAATTAAAAAAACCGGACTTTCAGTAATTGGCGGAAATGCAAGCACATTTCCAACACTTTTGATATGGTAAACGAATATAGAAAAAAAAGCATTACCGACAAACATAGATTATGTGCCACCTTCGCCACTTGCACTTAAACCTTGGGGAGAAACGTAAAGTGCATGAATCGTCAGTACACCTTATATCGAAGAGTTCCTAAGACCAATTTTCAGAATTGCAATATTTGCAAATTCAGATTATTAATAGCGTTTTACTTTTCACAGATGGTGAAGATAATGAGGCAGCAGACGGAGAACCGGAGGAGAGCACTCGGGGTAAAAAGCGAAAACACGAGGACGATGACGACAATTGAGTTGCCTTAGCGGAGTAACGTACTAGTTTGTAAGTGTACAGCGCTCCGATACATCGGACAATAAACCTCCTCAGCACCCACCAGTCACTATTCACTCCCCCTAGTTGTCATTCGTGAGATTAGTTCGGGCTCTCTCCGGCGACCTCATCCGCACTACCACACTACCCCCAATCGACGTGTTTACTCCAAAGGCAAACAATGTTTTCTCCCATTATTAATCAATGTTGATGTCTTGTGTGAAATCTGTAGTTTGTTGTCCGACAAGTTAATGTTTCAATTAAATTGTTTATGTAGTAATATTTTTTTATTCTATTGACATGCTTAATTTTAGTCTAATCATTGAAATGGAAGTGCATGATTTAGGAGTAATTTAAATGGCTCTCGACGATTCTTAAATCTACAATTTTCATATGAAACATATTAGATTTAAGTGGGAAGAATGTGAGAAACTTGAGGATTCTTCGTGTTCTTGAAGTTTATTATTGTTTTCAATATATTCTTGGACTCCGCCTGTATTTTATTGATGACCAGGTGTTAGGATTGATGTGATAGAAGTCATGAAAGTGTATTTTGGAGTCAATTTTCGATCCCACAAGGACGACTATAAAAGTACAAGCTGCAAATGATAAATGCTTTTAAGTAAACCAAAATTTCTTTTTTGTATAGTGATAGGAGAACATCCTGTTTGAAGATGAAAGTTTAGCAAATAACCTTAGGTCATCATTGTTTAACATTCTGTATTTACAGAAAGTTGATTAACGATCACAAAATTCTAAATGAATGCATTTAATTTGTTGAACTGAGGTAACCAGATTTCGTCCTCGTTCCTTGCACTCGAGGGCGAAGTAAAAGGAACTCTTATTTGAATTATTTTTTTCGAAATCTCGCTAATGATAATTAGAGATAATCATATTTTCTAGAATAAATCCAACGGGCGTAGTAAGTATAATCCAAATAATTAGATCAAATCTTTGATGTTTCATGAGTTCAAGAGAGTATTTTTCTATCTTTTTTAAAAAGAGCAATTTATGCACTAAATATATCAATGATAATATGAAGTGTTTAGTTGATGCATCATGGTGTACGTGCCAGATATGTTGAAGAGAATTTTAGTTAATAATTTTATTGTATTATGTAAGTCATTAAGTTTAAGTAATTTACAACTTGGCCTGTTGATATATATTATATTATAATCCTATTAAGACTTTATTTCTGGGATTGTAAAATAAAAGCTAAACATAATTTAAATTATTTCATTTTTTCCTTACTAAATGAGTCTCCGTTTTTGGCACGTAATGTATTACAACAATCAAAAACGATAGGGAAATTCAAAAACAGCAGCGCCTAAGCCCAATATATTTGGTCAAGTACTCTGTTGTTCCAAAAACTGTTGCAACAATGAATTATCAATAGGTATGACCAAGTTCTCGCTGCCGTCGTAGCTTCTCTTCATTTTCACCAACTTATGATCTAAGAACTCTGTGAGTTGTGCCCTTAACGCTAAGTCTGAGCTCACTAAGAACTGTTCACGTGACTTTGAGTACAAGTCCTTGAAGGGTAGGCCTGTAAAGAAGAATCAAAATGAGACAAATTCGTAGAATATTGTAAATTTACGTTCTAGTTAGTGAAGTTAAAAAGAGAAGTTTGTTATAGTAATATGCGTAAATAAATAGACACTATTCACTCTATGCCACAAAACTAGATTAAATATGAAAGGAAAAATTAAAAAAAAAATTTTTGTCACAGCAGAGAAAGAACGCTAACTCAGCATAATATGCCAGGTGCCTGAAGTATGTAGAAGTTATTTGTAAGCAAAAAATCAGTACCTATGTTCCTACTATTTAAGATACAAAGTGAAGATGTTCATTGGTGAATCAAATATGAAATAAATCAATATGTAAATCTGCACGAAAAAGCGGGTTTTTTACATACTTTCCAAAACTTGATGCCGAAACATGCAAAAGTTTTAGACGATTATTGACGTCAGTCAATATAAGCACAGATTACTTTATAGTTACTACGTAAGAGATACGACATCACAAAATCGAATATTATACCTACACAATAATAGCGTACTAAATCTTACTAATGACGCCAGGCGCTCACTACAAAGAAAAATAAATCTAAGCAGGCGTTCATAGAGGTGAAAACAAGGTTGCCCGTCGTGCAGACGTGCGGAACCGAATGTGTAAGGATTTTAATGGAAATGAAAGACTTGTCTGAAACTTTAAAATTACAATTATTTATTTAGTACAGCGATGGGAGAAGGGTTTCCTCTCAACTGAAGGTCGGCGGTTCGATTTTTGGTTGGACTAATTGTCGAAATGAACTTTACTAAATTAGCTCTGATCTGGGCGTTTTGGCTCGTGCCCCCAAGTGAATATTTACTCTAGTACTCATAGTACAGGGAATTCTCCAGTTTGAGACCAGGTTATTGGCGTGGTTGTGTCGCAGACGATTGTATTAGTATTCTTGAGATGGTTATTAGATTAGTCTAGTTTACTTACTATGGCAATAAAAATACATGAATAAAAACTGTTACGTCCTTTAAAAACTTTTCAAATGGATAATTCGAAAGCCGTTTGCTTGAATCTCGCTTACTTACACTACAAGTGCAATAATTGAAAATAAGTATTTCCATTAGGTATGATTTTAAATATTTAAAAATCTCGTAATCGTTGATCACAACCTACCAAATAAAAATAAATTCTTAGGAATTGAGGGCACAAAGAATCGAAAATAAAGAGATTATGGTAAAAACACAATATTAAACTTACATTACTTTCTGTAATGAAAAAAATTATAAATTATTCTTAGGCTTCCTATTTTTACACTCATCCACTGAACAAAAATTACACGATTTCGACATTGCGACGATTTTTCTTACGAAACATGCCGCTCATTTAGATGTGCGTGCAACACCCTCTGAGCGTTTGTGCCGACGTCGACACACTCGGCGGTAGGCACTTATCGCGTAACCTTGAGCGAGTTACGGAGCCCAGCCCCCGTAGCATGGCTACGCATAATTAGCGCGACGCGCGCGATAAAATTGAAATAAGCGCGCGCGCTATTGGCTGTCTTAATCAGATTTAATTTAGATAGTCAATAGTGCGCGCTTATTTCAATTGCGCGTCGCGACTATCATGCGTAGCCATGCTACGGGGGCTAGTGTAAGTGCCATTATTTTTGGCACAGAAAGTACTATACCGACTTATTTAGTTGTATGTATGTACATAGTATTTAGGGAATTTACTTAAACATTGCTCTCTTGAGTATAATTACTTACCTTGATAATGTGATTGCTTGTGGTTCTCTAACTGATGTTGTATGATAATATTGTATATTCCTTTAGCATTCGTAGTCAGAGAGGCAAAAACGCTACGCAACGACGAAAGCTGAAGGGCGCCACTTCGTTGAGTCATCAGCGAATTCTCGAAGGCCGTTTCTTCAGTATATGGCTGGAAAGTAGTCACATCCCACCATGTGAAATTAAACTTGCTTAGTTTGGAATGGTCCCATACTGAAATAAGTAAATTGAAAATTTAAAATGAGCGTATTTGGAAGGTGGAACACAGTTTCAGATTTTTTTATTGTGGCAATAGATTTTTTTAGATTTAGGGTCGTATTCCAGAACTCTACTCAATGCTCAAGTCAGGATTTGAGTATGATTTCAAATACTGGAAATACGACCCTAATGGCAAAGACTTGAGTATGATTTCTAGTGGTCTCAATCATACTTAAGTCCTAACTTGAGTATTGCAGTGAGCACTGAAAATCATACTCAAGTCCTTGCCATTAGGGTCGTATTTCCAGTGCTTGAAATCATACTCAACTCTGCTGAAATCCTGACTTGAGTATTGAATAGAGTTCTAGAATACGACCCTTAGATTCAACTGACCATAGTGTCTTATTGCTGATTTGAATAAAAACTTCTTACGTCTTTTGAGTAAAATTATACTTACACAAAGGCGCATTGATATGATCAATAGTAGCTATAGTACGAATATTCTTTATCTGTGCGATACTGGCTAACGTAGACTGTGTTTTGGCGTTACGAAGCATAGTACCGTCTATATTATGTATTATAAGGAATAATTCCATTCCTTTTTCTTTCAACTGGTTTTCTATTAGGCTGACAACATCACTAATGTTTGAGGGTACAGTACTGTTTCCTAATAAATCTATTACAATGGTTTCTAACACGCTCTTCACTGTAAGACTTGGGAAAAATCCATTAACAACAATACAGGGAAAGTCTTGCAACTTAAGCATTTGAAACTGGTGCAATAGTGGGCGTTTGGAACCAATGCCGTAAAGTATGATATTATAATTTTCACTCAAAACATAAAGCCATTTGTTGAATAGGTGTTCATATGAATTACTAAGATCAGATATATTCTTTTTATGTTCTTGACTTATGTAGGAGTCTGTGTCTAGTAGGCGATTAGTGATGTTTATGTTCTTTAATCTTGCTAGGGTATGATCAGAAGTTGTTATCTGAAAGTAAATGAAGAAAGTGTTCAATGTAGATTTATCCTCTGGCATCATGCCAGCGAGCTTCCCCATTGCTAGGTACGAGACAATGTCACTCATTGAAATTTAAAGTTAATAAGAATGGAAGGGAAACTATATTTTCCATGTTACTGTGGGCGGACCTTCTTATAGTCTTCTTTAAACCAGATACTAATTACCTTTTTACTAGAGTGCATCATAAAATAATTATCAGGTGTGATTATGTAATCAGGGTCTCTGTGCTTCATTTTCGTGTCTTTATTCTTAACAATTTGTACTTTGCTTGGTTTCTTTATTTTTTCTTCCTTTTGTTCTTCTTCACGGTCATCTTCTTCAGATTCTGGTGAAGACCCCGACTATAAACCAAAAAATGTAATACTGCACAATAAGATGTAAAATTACATGCAAACTTCTAACCATTAACATTGTTTTTATAAACTGTATATTGGATATTTTTATTTATTTATATTTTTATTTTTTATAAAAAATTAACAAGCATTAACACAGTCATAGCCATGAAGTAAAAAGAGTTACATTTCCGTTACTTATCGATATCTTATGTTTTCGCGATTGCGATACGTTATAAATGAAACTATTTTTTCGGGACTAAATCGTTTATATTTGTTTTTTTTTTCAAACAAACCAACGTGTCGAGATTTTTACAGGTTCTATTGTTTGAAGTCGGTTAAAATATAGTTTCATTTAATTAATTGTTGGCCATTGCAAACTAATAGTGGTCAAAAATTAAATTACTATAATCATTTTAAAGAATAATATATAATTACCTCTTCACTTTCTTCAGGTACAAAGTCACTGCTATCCCCAGAGAAGTCAGTCTCTTCACTGTCACTCTCGATCTCCTTTAGTATGCCTGAAAAAAAAAAGTGTAATTATTAATTTACGACGTGGCTTATTGTGCCGTTTTCGTTTAAGTACTTATGCGGAGAAAAATCGAGAATTAGTTGGTTCTAATTGCAATCAAGTAGATTTAGTATGCCCTGTACTAATCAAGTCTTCTACTACAATTTGAGAAACGTGAAATGAGCCTTATAATAAGTAAAATCTATTCAAATCTAATCGAAATCGGCGCCTGCACGATGAGCTCGCTCTGTACTTGCTCCAAAATAGAGAGATCTATCATTGCTAATAATAAGAATAACGTGCCAAACCCATACACTAATTATCTGGTCTCAAACTAGGTAGTCACTGTTGTACGCACGCCAAAAGTAAGCACTTTTAAAGTAAAGCACAGAATACTTATTAATAAGTTTCTGAAATTTAAGTACAAAAATTTGGTCACTTCAGGTCATCAGTCTGCCGTGTTATACTGGTGTAAAGGTGTTTTACTGTCCATATCTCGCCAATCTGACTCCAGAAGTAAAACTTTTCAATCTGAATATCTGCAGCATCTATCTCAAATCTGATTTCAACCAGAAAAATTCGTGAACTGGTTGGTGCTACCCAAAAATGCTTCAAGTATAGAATTTCACACTTCAGTTGTGAGGACAAATATAAGTGCACTTAAAATGCCAAAATTCTCTACAAAATGAGAAATTATCACTGTCCCTAGTTTCCCAAGGTGGTCCCTGCATACCACAGTAGGTGCTGAAGAGTCCTATGTGGGCAGTAAGACCTTGGAAGCAATTGGGGAGCGTTGTTGTCCAGGGATGCTACCACACTTGAAAAAGAAACCTGAATACATTACATATAGATATTCACAATTTATTCCCTTGTGATTTTTTTGTGTTAAGTTAATTATGAAGTAATTTTATAAAGTAATTTGTTTATATGTTAATATAATTTGTCTAAATGTACTGTAAGCCAAAAAATATAGCAACCCATGATAGTGATATTAGACTAAACTGCAAAACTAAAAGGTTAATAGGTTAGTTAATTAAAATAATTAACTAACCTATTAACCTTTTAGTTTTGCAACTAGTTTTCCCATAATGGCGCATGAAAAATAAATTTTAAGGGACTTACGTTTCTTCATAACATCCTTAAAATGTTTAGGAGTAGTAACCTCAGTTAATTTCATAAAGGGACTATTAATTCCCTTTAAAATACTTTTTCGCGGAGTTTTCATTGGAGATTCTATGACTTTTGGTGAACTGCTGATGGTGGCTTTAACTTTATTTTGAAGATCAAGCTTTGTATGACGAGATTTAAACTTGAAAATGTCTTGGCCTTCAACATCATCATTGCTGAACAATGCTGTAAAAATTTTTCAATTTTAGTGATAACATGTCAGTTATTGCTCTATCTTTCCTCTGGAACTGCTGCTTACAGGTGTTTAATAACTTCATGACCAGGCTTGACACAAGTCATCTCTACTATTGAACATACAGACAACTTAATAATACAGGTGATGTTTATCAGTGCAATCTGTGATGACATCCAAACAAACCTGAGGATTGTGGAGTCCTAATGTGAGTATATATGAGTATAGTATTAAACACAATAAATTTTGTTCAAAAATAGAAGAAGGGAACTAAATAAACCAAACCCTTCAAATTACCAATTCCTCTACCACGAGTTTACTGTCACAGTTGTCACTAGCGACCGCATATTTACTTGTATGGCAAAATATACAGCGCCCCTAGCAGTCATAAGAAGAAACAACATTTTGTATAAAAACATTTTACGCGATCACTAGCTATAACTGTCACTGTAATCTCATGGTAGAGGCACAGCTTCATATCGTCGCCTTATTATCTCAAACACGTATCTTATAGAGTGATTATTTAGGAGATGGCAAAACTTTCTATTTATTTTAAATTTCTTGTCAAGGGTGTTAATTTAGAGGTATTACTTTAAGAATAGATAAAAGCCAGTGCGTGAATATGAAGTAAATCGTTACTGCGCCTGCAAAACCGCGGAAGAGCAGTTGGTAAATATCGCGTAACAGCAAAAGGTACAAAATTGAAATATCGTGCCAACAGATCCTTAACGCTAACTCGCCTAAGCTAGATTTCACAGAATTTCATTTAGCCTCTAAGAAACCTCATTTTTGCCATCGAAACAATACCGCGAAACAGTAGCATTACTGAAATTGGCCGCAAGTCCGCGTACTTACCAAATAATTGAAGAAGTTATAACACGATCTCTGCACGAAACCGACGACTAGGAGAACTAAGAGATCAAATTCATCAAGACGAAGTAATGCTAAAATTTATTATTTGAAAGTTAATGATAAAAAGGAAAATAAATGGAGACAGTCGGGCATCGGTATGAATATATCACGAAAGTCGGAGTCAGCTCAAAGGAACTCCGTTTTGTTGAGAATAAACACGCCTGCGTTTTGGTAGCGTAAAATTTGACAAGATTGGCATCGCCTCAATCGGAGATTGCCTGGAGTGTCAAATGAAAACGGCTAACCATGGACTCTCGACAAGACTGGATTTCCTGTCCACTGACCCTTGCATTGGTCAAGTACCTATCTATCTACAACTGTGCTGTCATCAGCATACGCAAAGGAATTAACATATCATTGATATGCAGCAGAAAGAGAGTCGCAGACAGTACGGAACCCTGAGGAACTCTCTATCTATCGCCGTATGTTCGGAAGAGTAGCCTTCTAAGACCACTCGAATCGAACGTTCACTCAAGAAATCCGAGGTCCAATTACAAAGGTCAGTGGGAAGCCCATAAGAGGGAAGCTTACTTAAAAGGCTTGTGTGCCAGACCCTGTCAAAGGCTTTAGAAATGTTTATAGACACTGCAAGTACCTCGCCTTGCTTTTCTACAGCCTTGCTCTATATGTGACAGGTATACACAAGAAAATCCCCAGTAGATCGCCCTCGTGGAAATCCGTACTAGCGATCACTAAGGAGGTCGTTGTCTTCGAGGTACGACAAGAGACGGTTGTTGAGTACACGTTCCATAGTCTTACAGAGTATGGAAGTGACTGAGATAGGTCTATAGTTGACAGGGTCAGCTCTGCTTCCCTTTTTAGGCATAAGTTACACGTTTGCAAGCTTCCACGACCAAGTGAGAGGCGGTACAGGCGTGTGAGAACAGGAGACACCTCAGGCGCACAGTTACGCAGGACTATTGCTGGAATTCCATCTGGCCCGCTAGTTTTATGAATGTCTAGATTTCGCAGAGTTCTAAGTGCCTCTTTTTGACGTATGCAAACTGGCGACATAATGCAGTCAGCCTGAGGTAAAGTAGGTGGTAGGTTCCCTGCGGCACGCCGGGCGGCGTCGTGGTGAATGTTCACTGATCCCACGGCGCCGACTCAACCGGCGAGAGGGAAACCCGGGGGGGGTTTTAGTGGGGTAGGCCTTCCAGTGTGGAGGGTGAGTAACCCCTGAGTCTCCCTGGGCTAAAGATTTCCCCCCCGTCAAAAAAAAAAAAAAAAGGTTCTCTGCGGCATCCAAACGCGCACTCTCTGCAAAGAGTGACGCAATAAGATTCGCATTCTCTTCCGCAGTACGAACCAGCGAGCCATCCGGCCTCAGCAGAGGTGGCAAAGATGAGCGACTAAAGTTAGATTCGACTGCTTTGTCCAGGGACCAAAAGTATTTGCTGCCTGCTGGACGAGAAGCAAGTTTGGCCCCTATGCGGCGCACATGGTCGAACTTAGCCCTACGTAACACACTTTTGCACTTCTTGGCGACCTTATTAAAAACTTTCTTCAAATTCTGAGTACTCGGAGCTTTGCGTAGTAAAACATCTACCCAAGCTTGGAACGCGGACTGTTTACGTGTTTCAGCACAACTAGAATCAGCGTAAAACCATGGACGAGCTTGGGGTCCATTAGGTAAATCAGAGTATGGTATGTAACACTTCGTACCCAAATGCAAAACCTCGACTACAGCATCAGCACAGCTCGACGAGTCTCCTGAAATAAAGCACGCCTATCAGAGGTATGACGCAAAGTAATGTACGTCAGCTGTGTATTATAGTCTTAGACTATGGAAATTATTTTTTTCCATTGTCTCAGATTATAGTGGGTAATATCATAATAAAAATAAATAGGGTGGCATGATTACAGAGCAAGACACTACCTTTTAATTGTATTTGTGGAAGACATTTAACAGGTGTAAGCTGCTGTGATTTTCAGAGAACTTACAACTGTTTTTTTTTGCTTAATTGCATATATTTTCAAGCTACAAAATTTAGTAACATTTTAATCACGAGAACTTACATTCTTTTTGGCTAACTTATAAAAAGATTTCTATATAATTTGACTATGAGTAGCAATATAGTAACAATTTATTGTTTATCTGATATTTTGCTCCAAGACGTTTGTTTTAGAACCTTTTTTGTTAATTTATTATGACCCTGTATTGTCCCAGACAAGGACAAAAGCCTCTTTACTTTGTCATTTTTGCTCTTTAGTGATAATAAAATCAAACCTTTAATAAAATGTTTCATTTCAATCCCGTGCACCTACTAGCAGTATACTACTTTTTCTGTAATTTGTTACTACAAAACCACATTAGTGACTTTATCCAGAATCTAAACAAGTTATGGGTAAACTTACATTATTTTTCTACAAAGTGAATTGCAAAGAAGTAGCTACAGAGTTCAGTCGGTAAAATATAGTTCAATAGCTAAGATATTAAGTTTTATATTCGCTGTTATGCAGTATTTACAAAGTGCTCTTCAGCGGTATTGCACACGCAGCATCGAAATGTGATGTGAAATCAGCCTGCAAAATTTGTATATACAATCCATTTTTTGCATTTCAGTAACTTTGTGCTTTAAGATATGAGTTTAAGAAAGTAAGGTGGTGGTATTATCTATTAGAGTAATGCAAGAGTAGTAATTGAAGAAAATTTACACTAAGCATAACATTGTCTTACGAGTGAAGTTTTCTATGTAATCTGTTATGAAAAGGATAAAAATGTGGTAAAAATATAGCAAACGCAATCAATAATGTTAAATTATATCTTATTCAGATGTTAATATAGTTAAGCAAGAGGTTTTGCAAGTATTGCTACAACAAAAATTTGTAATAACTAAAAAACCTCACATATTTTCACTCTAAGGCTACGATAATCACTTTGACTATAAGCCCACACAAGCAAGTGCTTTTTGGCAAAGCCACAAGATGGATGCAAATGAAATTCCACTACCCAAAACCACCATGTGGCCTTCTACAACATTCAACCAATGACCAAATAGACAGTGCTGGTGGGGTATGCTAGAAACTAGGCCAACTAATACAACAAGGCCTCCAAAGACTAGCTTGTTTTGTTACAACTAGCTGTGTAATGAGAACACCATGGTGGCCAAAGAGGCCATGTTTGACCTACTATAACAGCAGCATTTCAACAACAGGGAATGGCTGCAGGAGAAAGTACTTATTCACTAGGAATACTTTTACAAATTTAATTCAGAATAAGTGCTTAATTACAAGCCAGTAACAGTACAGATTTAAGGTTACAAACTCTTCCAATAAAATTGAAATTTTATGCTTGTTTCAACTATGAATCTTTCTAAAACGCTTTTCTATCACCTGTAGGTTTCTGCAGACATTGCACTTCATTATCGTCATCCTCAGAGCTTTCCACCTCTTCTTCGTGCTTCCGTTTTGTCAAGGATAGGTCAAAGAAATCGCCGTATTTCCTAGGCTTACTCCTCACGCGTGACGCTCTCCTTGGGGTACTTGGACCATCTTCACTCATGTCTAGAATTTACAATATAAAGTTAGAAAACACACTATTAATAAATTAGAACAGTACATTATACCTCAATATACTTACTGACATTAATAAATATGATTTTATAATTATTACAACATCAAAGAATTAGAACCAATCCAATTCCAATTTCTATAAATCGAATTCCACAACGATTTTCCCAATGTCAGGAATAAAAATTATATCTAAGATCAAAGAGGATCTAATCACTTTATGGTAGTTTTGTAAAAATAATAACGACGTCAATAAAAAAATAACTAGAACCAAATTATTTGATTGACGTAAGATTCCAAATAGGTATGTTGATCTTTGATCTAACCAAAAACCTGGATCTAACTCACAAATGCTAAAGATTTATCTATATAAATCAATATAAATTAAGCGGGAATCCGGGAAGTCAAAGTAATTTTTTATTATTATTATTTTTACGGCTCTGGGTACTTGGTATAACAAGCCATTCATTAATCATAATCAATCACACACGTCCTGTACCTATTCGGTGATTGTCGTACAGTCGTTGTAAATTGGGGGCATTCATGTGGGGTTTATTATACTGCATTGCAGTCCGCCTAGCCGTCTGCCGCGTAATGCAGGCTTATGAATGTATCTGCAGCGCGCAAGCCATCCTGCAATCCTGAAATTCGTACTGAGAGACTGACTAGACTAGACTGTGATGCCTGTGACATTGCTGTAGAAAGTTACGGGCACCACAGTCTATTTATATTATATTCTAAGTGATCGACTGATCGTACATACAATAAAGTTTTCTTTGACACAATTAGAGGAAACAAATAGGCTAAACCTCAGAGTAATATTACTTTGAGGGCTGAATATGTGTTAGACATGAAACAGCATCTAATAGTCTATGCATGAAACGAACATAACATTTTTTTAATTTCTCATTAAGCTTTGGCTATAAGGAACCTAAACAAAATTATAAAATTAACAAAAAATTAAAACTTTACACATTTCACGTGTTTTTCACTGCCTCCATGGCCGAACGGTTACCATGTTGGACTGCCACGCGGTGTCTCAGGTTCGATTCCCGGGCCGGGAGAAATAGTTGTATGGCCTACAATTATTTCTCTCGTGAGTTTGGGTGTAATTTGTGGTTGTCTATGTGTGTGTCTATGGCACCCGCGATACAGGATTTCCCTAGTGCGGGGCTATGTTGTGTGTGTGCGTTATTTAGTATTATGTAATATAAAGCTTTATAATATAAAAAAGATGGCTATTTTCTGTGGAGATAATTTGTGAACTGTTCGATTATGCAAAGCCACGGATTTATATATTTCTAAGAGCCGTATTCCAGAACTCTACTCAATGCTCAAGTCAGGATTTGAGTATGATTTAAAGCACTGAAAATCATACTCAAGTCCTTGCCATTAGATTCGTATTTCCAGTTCTGGAAATCATACTCAAGTCTGCTCAAGTCCTGACTTGAGCATTAAGTAGAGTTCTGGAATACGACCCTTAAACTGGATCGCGTACTTGGATATACCAATATTATAAATTTACACCTTCGTCTTCTTTTAAATGTTATGGCCTCATCACTCACTCGACTCGTTTTATTAACTTAGTGCTCGGTCCAGTTTAATGTTTATATCCGTGTGCAAAACAAACCACGCTGTTGCCATTCGACCACAAATTCATTCGACATACATCAATGTCAAACAAACCGTCGACTTGACACCATGGACGTATTATACAATAATTGTATAATACGTCCATGCTTGACACTAACTTGGCACTTAAGGCAGGACTTGAGTATGATTTCAAGCACTGGAAATACGACCCTAATGGCAAGGACTTGAGTATGATTTTCAGTACTTTAAATCATACACAAGTCCTGACTTGAGCACTGGAATACGACCCGTAGACTATTTCTTTTATTTTTTTCCATCCTATAGGCTTGGCATCAATGACATGTCAGTGTTGCCAATTTTCATGGAATTCCCCAAATTGCGAGAAATTTCAACTCGGTTGGGGATTTTGTGCTGTGGGGAAAATGCGAGAATTCTATCATTTTGTTTACTCTATCGATTATGCTGATGCATCGCTAATTTGATGGCTACTGATAAAAACGCTATGATAACCAATATTGATATTTTTTTCAATATCGTACATCCGATTATTAGCAAGCCGCTTATTCGGTGGGATCAGAGCCCTTAATTCTGCATTGTAAAATCACAAGTCAGTGTGTATTGAGTGCGCGACCCTTCTTGCGATTATACCAGTTTCCAGTGTAAAAAAAACGAAATTAGCTATTGCTAAACAAGGCGAGCAGTTGATGCTACTTCCTTACCATAACTCGCCACTCGTCAACTTTAAATATTAAATGTAGGTCTAAACTGAACTTTCCCATTGATTATTTGTAACCTTAGCACTATCACCAAATGCGCAACAAATAATTATATTACTTAATTGTGCAAGGTTAAGTAAAAGGACTTTGTTTTTTCAAAGACTGATAAATGTTAAATATCATTAAAATAAATAATCGATATAAGGTCATCTAATTTTCTAATTTGCTTTACATTTTACATTCAGTTTGTCTTTTATATTCAAGGCAAACATATGCTGATTAAATAATTTTGAGTCTCCTAATTCTTTGTTCTATTCTTAAGCGATGGATTTATGATAAATAATGAGAACTCGAGTTAAGAGGAATCTGAACTTTGCTCTCCCCAAATTTAGGAATTTAAACCGTTATTTTTGGGCTTTTGAACAATTGATATTGTTAATGGAAATTATACGAATCTCGAACTAAAATACCCGTATCGGTCCGTTTTAAGGAATCCCGAGTCAATCCAAGCACGCCGCCTCAAATTGCCTATCCTCTTTGTGGCGGCCATATTTACAGAAACATAATTAAACTTCATGTTTAGGCTATTGGCTTTGCCAAAGCCTTAATAAATTAAAAAAAAATTGACACGAGTTGTCAATTTTGTTTGTATTTTATCTGTGATTTTATCACAATTAAAATTTATCCCAGTAGTTTGTGTTTATCCCTCCCTCCGAGTAACCTTTGATTTCTCGTATTTCGAAATAAGTCATTGATTTGTTTTCGTGTTTTTTACTATTTCATACATATTCACATTTGTATAGTACTGTCTTATTAACTAATTACCTCACAATGTCTCTTAAGTAAGCTAAAACTTTTTACTTTGACTTTTCAATTTTCTATAAATCTACAATAAGAAACAGTGTTTTGGTTAAATATTGTTTTGGTTGCTATGATATATTATATACTTTTTGCAGCGTTAAAATATTGCCTGGAGCGACAGTTTGCGAAGATTGTACTTTAGAAGGTGATATCACCATAGGTGGTGGTACAGTAATCCACCCAAGAGTCACAATTATTGCCGAAGGCGGGCCGATCATTATTGCAGAATATTGTATTATTGAAGAATACTCTACAATTATACACAAGTGAGTAATTATATTCATGTCTGTAAATGAAATACATACAATAGGTTGTGGGGTACTATATAGTTGGAATACTTAATAATGAAACATTTTCTTCAGATAATCTTTTGTCATGCGAAGTGATTGCAATCGCTCCAAGCAGAATTGCAAGCAATTCGTAACTTGTTAAATTTACGTATTTATTATTATTATTAGGGTGGTTTCATTCAAGTTGAGTATGCGACATATTAAAATTCAGATGTGAAAAGAATCACCATGATTTGAATTGAAGATGTACATTTTTCATTGCGGCTAGTGCTCTGCATTTGCAAGTTTACATGACTCACATGACTGAGTATGTGCTGTAAATAGGTATTTGTTAGGTGCACCACTTCTGCCCCATATTTTTATAAAATTGAAATATGCTCGCGTTATTGGCTATATTAATTAGATCTGATTGAGACAGCCAATAGAGTGCGCTTACTCCAATTTTATCGCGCGCGACGCGTCTAGCGTACATAGCCATGCTATGGGGGCTGATTTTGCATTTCCACTGATAAGTTTGTACATGCTAAATTTAAGAAGTGTGTGATGAATATTACCAGGCTACATGGTTTATACTTGAATGACAGACTATTGCATTATCTTTTTGCTATGTGTAACAGGAGTTATTAAAATAAATTTTCAATGTAAAAAGGTAAAAGGTGTGTGACTACATCTAGAGGCTAGGTACAATGGTACAGATTTAACATAATGTTACATTTAGAAACTGTGACAAGTAACAGATTTTTTAAATCAACTCACTTTTTACTCATGATGAAGAAGAAAAAGCAATTGTGACCTCATTTATACTATATTAAATAATAATAACAATTTCAGAAAAAGTGACAATCAAGAGAATCCACCTAAACCCCTGTTCATTGGAGCACACAATGTGTTTGAAGTGGGCTGCAAGCTGGAGTCACCATGTGGACACATTGGAGAAAGCAATGTGTTTGAATGCCGATCTTTTGTAGGAGAAAACATAAAGATAGGGAGCGGTTGTGTCATTGGTACAGTTTTTTTTATTTGTCTTGTTAATTAAGGAACTAGATCTGTTGTCATCATAGATTTAGTATCTAAATCTATGGTTGTCATAGTTACACAACATACAATAGGTCTTGAAGTTTGCCATGAGTTCGGAGCTCGAGTGCCAAGTCTGACATAATAAAATCTGTTTTAATATTTATAATTATTTATTTGTTTTAAATATAGAGCTGTAAATTGGTCCATATTCAACATTCATTATCAAGATTTTATTAAATGGAAATATTGTAATTTTACATTACAAATTTTCATCATAATCTGTAAAGTTTATATAAATTATGTATTGTAACCTTATTGTAACCACATTTTAACAATGATTACCATTTTAGAAATAAATTTTTGCAACTGGTTCAGTGGTATTTTAATTTGTTTAAATTGATTTATTAAAAGAAAAAAATTGTTATCCTTAAATTATTTTTGCTTCAGGTGCAGCATGCTCTCTAACAGCTCCTCAGACATTGCCGGATAATACAGTCATCTGGGGTTCAGATCACCACATCAGAGAGGCGTTGGAAAAGCAACCTTCTCAACTCTTACAACTTGACTTCCTCAGCAAAGTCATGCCCAATTATCACCGATTACGGAAACCAAATGTGCATAAACGACAGCCGGCTAGACCATCACAGGAAACTTCACCAAAAGCGTAAAGATTTAAGTACATGTAAACGAACATATGGAAGTCACATTGTAATAAATACACATGGCTGTATCAAAAGAAATGTATTATGTTAGATAGAAAACAGCAAACCTGTTTACTATGTCAGACTAAAGTAGGCCAATATTGAACACAAATGACTGACTAATGACTACTCTTTTTAAGTTTTTTTTACCGATCTTTATAAGGACTCCACACATTTGCAATTACTTTCACAGTTGGACATAGCTATGCAAACTAGAATCAACCCATAAAATGTCACTTTCGAGATGATTAGACTTCTGTAAGAACAGTGTGAAGAAATAAATAGATAAGTTATTAGAGACAGACAACGTTAGTTATGTGTAGCATTAAGAATGATATAGGGAAACTATTATATTACATAGCAATGAATAGAAAACATTATATATCTTTTTATTTAGCTAACGGAGCCATATTCTAGTTTTCGTAATGAAAACACTAAAGATCTACAGTACTTCAGTACATGTGACATGGATCCATTTAGCATATATTAAAAAATACATTATATGAAGTTAAACAGCATGGTTCCTTTTAGCTATTAAAAAGTTACTTACTTAGGGTTGGTACCCTGAAGGACTTTTATTTTCTCTGTTTTGGCTTGGTATATTGCCAGGATCTTTTGTGAGCAGGTAAAGGACACATCTGGTGTTCTACCTAAATACATAACTCAATTTCACTCGAGGTGTGGGTTGGTTTTTCTTTGCATAACTATGTCTAGTTATTCTTTTAATTGAACTCTGAAATATCCTATATAGTATCAAGTTTTATTGTGGGACAAGTGCGTTTGGATACTTTTCTATTTTCTCCACCATAGAATTGGCCGTTGATTGTCTTTGTACCTGTGAGCAATGTTAAGAGGTGTTTGGTGTATAGTATTTGATAGGGAACAGTAAAATTAATAATATGCCAAAAAATATGTCATTGGCTGGTTTTTTTAATATTTTTTTTTATTGAATTGATATTCAATTATTTTATGTGAAATTACTCCACTAGTTATAATTAGTAATTATTAATAACAAAGATCGAACTCTCAAAAAGAATTCCTTCAATTCGGCCGGATTCGAACCGACACGTCTTCTAGCATAGACGCTATACAAACTAAGCCACGGAACGTACCAGCGGACCTCACGAATTTTTTTATGTGCTTGCATCGTATCTTTGTATTTGGTTTTTCGACGACTTTAGCCGTAGCGCCCTATGAGAACTTCTTTTAAATTTTTACTTGCTATAAAATCCTCATTCCGTTTCACACAAATATTTGGTTAAATAGTTGACAATCATTTAATCAACATCATTTAAATTTGTTTAAATATTTACTATAAGATTCTATAAAAACTGTAGGACTAATCTTATTTGTTATGTATATTATGTAGTTACTATAAAATAAGCTTAAAGATTAATGGCTTAAATTATTATAATTTAAGAGCATGTCTAACTTAATAAAAGAATTTAATTATTGTATTAATCACATACACTTGTGTTTTTCATGAAGGCGATGGATGAAAGAAGTCATTCGTTTACGAAAACGAAACTACACAGTTTTCACAGTGGACTGAGATACTATCAGCAAAGTTAAAGCTCACCCAGTAACAAAACAATTTGGTTTGCAGGCGGGGATTGTAGCTAAGCCTGCCCCCGTACCATTTTTTATATTTTTTGTTTGCAATTGAAATTGACCTAACTCAAACACTTGTGACTTCTTAGGTTTTCGCGATTGTTACACATAGGAAATGAAACTATTTTTCCGGATTTAAATCGCGTATATTTGTTTTTTCAAACAAACCGACGTTTCGGGCCCTTTACAGGTCCCATGGTCACGCGATTTAAATCCGGAAAAATAGTTTCATTTCCTATCAAACACTTGTGGTTGACAAAACAAGCATGGTGCGGGTGGTCGCTTAATGCCGTTGCCAGCACATAAAAAAAACCCTTAGGTAACGCGTCGACTTTGATGATAGTACTGTCAACAGCACATTAAGCTACACGCTTTTGTTCAAATATCACTCGCACCGCCAACAATTAAAAAGGAGGAAACGATGGAGCCACTAGAAAGATTTTTTTCGCTGTAGTCCAACCATTTTAAATCTACTTTTTTCTCTTAACTTTCTTTTAGCTACATAATTTTATTTTATAATTCACGCTAAATAAAGCTTCAAAAGATATTTCTAAACCCAGAACATAATTATAGGCTTTCGAATTATATTTTTCCAATTTTCAGAGTGTTTTCCGGAAAAATTTTCTGTTTGAAATTTTTCGGAAAATTACCCAACTATTTTCTGTTGTCGCTAAAACTGATCGGCACGGATCACAGACATATATCTAGATAGACGCCGCGCCTCAAGTGTACGTACTTCGCGTGCCCAAAGTAAATGAAATTCACTTACTTGCATCTAGGCTTACTTGCCCAGAACGCGCTCGACTGTTATCGTAGATAAACGCCAGTCGAAAATGCGAAAAAATGCATAATTGTGCCATTACAAACTGCAAAAGCACCATAACTGGGTAAATGGGTAAAGAGGGACGTTTCCTTCCACGGGCAAGTGATTTTGTAATCAGAAGATGCATAATTTATTTTAAAAACAATTATTTTTAAAATACAAAAATACAACAAATTATTTTGGTTTTGTATGAGTTTCGAAAAAACAAAAAATATGCAACCGAGTGTATGTATCATGTTTGTAATACATTGCGGCTTTTACTTGGTGCGATATATTTGTGATCCTTTGTTAATACGCCATGAATATCGAACTAACACACTTTTGTATAATGCATTCAGTTTCGTGGTACGGCCGCTTGTATATATGTTACCGGAAATATATGAAATCTAGGAATTGTATACAAATCCTAGGAAATGTATACAATTCCGAAACTATCTAGGAAATGTATAAAATATTGTTTCAAAAACTATTTGTTACATAAATGTCCTAGAACATGTGTACCTAGGAATTGTATATAATTCCAATATCGTATTAGGAAATGCATAAAAATAATGCTTTCTGTAATAAAACACGTTGTTAAAATGAGAATAATATTTTTTATTAAAGCACTCATTGCCCAGAGGGACTTCCGCGTTTGTATAAAAAAAACCTAACTTAACCTAAATAATCCGATTCGTTTCTGCCCAGAGGGACTTCCGCGTTTGTATAAAAAAAACCTAACTTAACCTAAATAATCCGATTCGTTTCTGCCCAGAGGGACTGCGACGCGCGTACGCACTGGCAGTTTACGCGGCACTAGCGCGATCGCCTGATCAGACGAAGCAATACCCTCCCCTCGCCCTGCTATTCCCGCGTACCCATTGAAATCTCAAATGTTTTACATTTCCGATTGCTATTTAGGAAATGTATAGATTTCCTAGGAAATATGTCTAATATAATTTATTTTACACATTTCCGTGCGATTTTAGGAATTACATACATTTCCTAGTAATTGTATACAATGACGGATTACATACATATCCTGTAACATATACATTTTTTCTGGCCAAATTTAACATTTAGTGATGTATACGTTAGGCAAGAACAGTGGTTCTCGATTCTGATCGATTTTGAAAACAAAGGAGGAAAATTATTATGACCTTAGCAATATTATAAAAATATTCTATAGTTCTTTTGTTATGTCTTTAGTAACGTTTCGTTCTTTTTTTTTTGTAGTATCTATTATCAGTAGTATCTGTAATTTCAATGATTTTTGTAGCACATTGTCTCGAATGTCCAAATATAGTCAGCAAATAATTACATACATCGCCAAGTATGAAGTACGAGTAATACAAAAAAAAAATTAAAAAGCAAAGAATTAACAGTGCGCTGTCTTTAAAAAACCTGAGTTGGTTATACGTATGAATTCGTTGCTTCGAGGACGAAGGTAGTCTAGTTTATCTCAGCTAAGATGCTATTCAAATGTAGATTGTAGATGCAGAGTAGCAAAGTTAGAAATCCGAGAAATAACAAACACATCGCAAAAATTTCACACGAGGCCGTCATTGTAAACCTCTTCTGATCAATAATATTTTACCATATTTTGTCAGCAGCAACATTTTTATTTGTCTTGCCATTCATCAATTTGATCAATTACCAACAGAAAACCATGTTTTTTTTTTTTTTGACGGGGGAAAATCTTTATGGATATCCCTGAGCCCAGGGAGACTCAGGGGTTATGTGGGGACTCTCCCTCCAGACTGGAGGGCCTACCCCACTAAAACCCCCCCGGGTTTCCCTCTCGCCGGTTGAGTCGGCGCCGTGGGATCAGTGGACATTCACCACGACGCCGCCCGGCCGCCCTAGCTTACGCCAGGGCTCCCGCGCCAACGGAGGGGCGAGTCGGTTGTCCTCCGACCCGCCCCCCAACAGAAAACCATCTAGTAAAATTAATTAAGGCAATCGCAAGTTCATATATCAATATATGTGCGTACGTGCGTTTACATTATTTAAGTTAAACGATAAGATTATTACAAAAGGATGTTATGTAATAAGCTCATTTTACTTTAATAATTTTATTATTTCGAGTCGATTAAAAATTAGTCTTAATTTTTTTTAAGTAATCAACATTTTTTTTAAACGAGTAAAATAAAGGACTAAGCTATCTTATTCTAGTATTTTTCTACTATATTAATATTGTACGACTAAGTACTTGTAATCAGCAAATACTTGAACAAAAATGATTCTAATTAGAATCGATTCATTGAATGGAATACGCATTGTTACGCGTATTCCGTTCAATCAATCGATTTAGAGCGAGCGGAAGGAGGTTTCATTACTAAATAGTTCTTGTGACGTCATGGTGGGTACAAAAAATGTGGTACGCCTGGTTTTCATACAAATTACTATGCTTGCGGCGTATATCTAGATAGCTAGATATACGTCTGTGGCACGGATTTATATACTTCCTAAACTGGATCGCGCACTTCGATATACCAGTATTACAAATTTACACCTTATTCGGTTATGTTAAGGTTTATTTTAAGTAAAAGTAAAACCGAACTACGTGAGATAGCTCGAAGCCGTTGTCTGTCCTTGTCTAACAAGTTGCCAACTCTAATAAAATCATCTTAGGTAGTGTCTAGTCTATTAACTTTTTAAATTTTGCTTAAATAAAATTAGCTTAAGGGTAATATGCTTTTTACTGTAATAATACAAAAATATATATATCAACAATGAAACCTTCTATTATGAAGTAGCATATCAATAAGTATTAATTTGTATTATGAAATAGAAATCATACTCAAGTCCTTGCCATTAGGGTCGTATTTCCAGTGCTTGAACTCATACTCAAGTCCTGACTTGCACATTGAGTAAAGTTCTGGAATACGACCCGTAGGGTCGTATTCTAGAACTCTACCCTTAGAAAGAGACGCATTACTACTTTGCTTTTTTTTCATCGTACTTTGAAGCCTCTCACTCGGCTCGTCTTATTAACTTAGGGTCGTATTCCAGAACTCTACTCAATACTCAAGTCAGGACTTGAGTATTGCAGTGAGCACTGAAAATCATACTCAAGTCCTTGCCATTAGAGTCGTATTTCCAGTGCTTGAAATAATACTCAAGTCTGCTCAAGTCCGCTCGGTCCAGTTTAAATCTGTGCTCGGTTGGAGCCAATAATAAAAAAAATAAATGGGAATGCTCGTTTCATCTACCACACTGACACATTTCGACGTGTCGTGACATTTGTGTCATGACTTTTGACAGTTACGCAGAATGAAAAAGAAGATCGTTTCGTTCATCTTTCTGTCGTTTTAGAGAGAGTCATCGATTTCTTAATTTTGAGGAATTTGTTTCTTTTGTAGTTGTACACCTGAACTGATTTATATACGGTAATCACTTTTAGAGTTTATTTCTCGCGTCACATATTAGTTTTGTTGTTTCAAAATTCTTTGTGATATCGCGGAATGTTTGATAAACATTAGTAGGACACATCACAAAACTCGTCGTTTCTATTAATATTGCCTTGTTTGGGACTGAATTAAAATATTGGAGGCTGTGACTAGTTTTGTTCGAATGCTTTATTGATAAATTGTTGTGGTTGAGCGTTTGGTTTTGTTGTGGAAGTAATTAAATCTCGTGTGTAGTACAGACGCCATGTTGTTATTTACGTTCTGATTTGGCTGTGGTTCCCTGATGGGGTATTTGTTGTGGGGCGCGGTCGCGAGTGAGTGAGCATGTTGGAGGATGTGCCGGTGCACGGGAGCCGCAGCGACCTCAGAAATACGAGAGCCGCCACGCACCAGAGGAATTTCAGTTTGGACTTTCGGTAAGTTTCCTTTGCTCTTCCTTATCTCTTATGTCGTTAATTGCGATAACAAACATAATCAATTGATGATTAACGGATAATTATTTGCCCCAAATAGGTACATACAATTCATTTCGATACGCGTTATATCAGAATTGTATAGGGTTATTTACTCCCATTTTTAAGCGAAAGCGAAACGTATTTTTAAAAATTTCATTATCATTTGTTATTCACATGCCATACAAATGCAAATGTATTATTCATAAATCACACTAATGATGTCTCTTAGTACATCTGCACAGAAAGACAATGTTATTGATAATTCGTGCTTGTGACTGATATCAAAACAATTGATTGAGCTCAATTATTTCAGAGATTGTTTACTTGACTTAGAAATATGTTTTAAAAGTAAAAACATTAATTTATAAATTTTTTAAAGTAAATATATTATCTCTTGACCAGTATCTAACCCTCAAGCAAAGATACGGTTTACTATGATATGAGCTTGCATAGAAGAATATATGGTCTAAGCCCTGATATTTAAACCTTTTTGAACTAATAACATCTGAATCCTAGAGTAGTAGGTTAATTGATCAACTCTCAATCCTTCCATACCATTTAAAATTGCATTTGTTTGACTATCATAATGAACAGATTCAATAGATTCATTTGTAAAGAAACTATGAAATCTGGTACTTTCATCAAAAGCTTGTTCTTATTTTTTGTTAGATAAATGTATATTTAATTAAATAGACATCTCAAGATTGTTTTTAGTTAAGTACCTTAACAAATGGACTATAAGCAATTTTTTCGTCTTTGAAAATAAAAATTAACTTGATGAAATAGCCCAATTATAAAGATATAAAATAATTCAGAAACATAAGCAAGTCTGAAATCAATTAACTGTCTAAGTGGTGAAACAAAGTCTTGTTAATTTAAGAATTAATCTGTCGTAGTTTTGAAAGTTTTTGCGTCTAATGTTTGTACACCCTCTGCGAGAAGTTTTTACCTATAAAAGAAAAAAATGTTATTGGGCCCTGAAAATGTGAAGTAAATAGATTTTCAACATTAATACTGTGAGTTGTTGTTAATATATTGAATCAATTATCTTCAATGTTACGAGTTTCAAAATCATATCCTTCAATCTTTACCTCAATGTTACATTCATAAAATAAATAAAATAAGAATTTTAAACAAAATAACACAAATTTTTAAATTAATCAGTTTAAATAGACAAAGTTCAGAAATTATAATTTTACCTCACTTTTTAAGGCTCCTTATAAAATAGTTATATGAAGTAACTTCTGAAGTAAACATATTTCACTATATATACCAATTGTGCTTTTGATTGCAAACAGTTTGAAGAAATCATCATGTTAAGATGGCATGAAGCTTGTCTTGTGCAATTTGCCAGTCACACATTATGAACATTTACATTACAACAACAAAGCAACTAGAGCAGATGTTACTATACCTTTTCTAACTAACAAGTGCACTTATAACATTGTTTATATGTTGAGGTTACAGTTACTTAGGGTTCTGAAACTGTGGGAGTTACTTTTGACTTTTGACATCTAAGAAGAAATCATGCTGTTAAATTCTGGAATGTCAAACGTGATTGTAAGCCTTTAACATAATATGTATTTATTTTTAACTATTAATTAATTAATTCTGCACTTTTAAGAATATCTTTAGTATTAAGTTTCAGAAATAAATAATGCTAGTGAATATTTAATGTTCTGAATACTAACAAGGATATTTTAATGTCTATACAAACCTCAAATGGCTTTGGTTGATTCTGCATAACGGTGAAAGTCTTGAAACAATCACTTTGGAAAAAATATGTAGTAGAATTGAGGATATGCACTGATTACTATATGGTGTGAAAACACAATTCCTAAAAATTTTCGCAATAGAAAAAACTGAGGTAGTGTCAACTCTTAATGACAGAATTAATTTCAGGACAAAAATGTTATTCATTAAAAGTAAAAGGGTGTTTCCTACTTTTTGTTTTAATTACTAATAGATTGTAAATGTTTATATTGTAATTTATAACCACTCACATCAATAATAAAAACATTGCATTGCTAACGCATGTAATTATTTACCTTTTTTATGAGCACAAATTTTATTGGTCTCAGACATTTCAATCATAAAGTCAGTTTTCTTTGCCCTTGACACAGTATGTTAGTGTTTTATAAGTAATTTACGGTGTGCTCTGACAACTCGTATGAAATGACAATACCTGTTCTTCATAAGCTTAAGCAATATTGCTTTAGACAGAAAAGTGTATTAAATTAAGATGTTTTGACTTCTTTTTGATGGATTTTACTGTTCTCTAATTGTTGCAAAAATAGGTACTTGAGGTTTCGAATACAGAACTTTTGAGAGTTCCTAGTAGTTGCAAATTGTTATATTTATTTACACAAAAAAAAATTGGGAAATTTGGATTAAATTTGAATCATCTTTGTATATTATATTATAAATACACATTGTAATGGTAGAACGGCATCTGTACATTCTTTTTATAAAGATTACATTTACACTTACATGTTTCTAATTATGGTGTTCATCCATTTGCTATTTATTATTGTTCCTATGTTGCTGTAAATATTCAGAAAAGTAAATAGCTAAAGGATAGATACTCTAATGCAACCATGAGACAATTTTGTGAATAATTATCTGTATTGAATATTAATAAGTTGGTTTGACTCAATTCTTAATAAGATATTGGCAAGTTATTTTTGTTTTTTGACAAGAGCATACATTATTGACTATTTGGAAGGAAGTACTTTTTTACTATTCTGCGACATCACGAAGATCCAAATAAACTGTCAGCCTTTATTCATATATTGAGTAATTTTATTACTTTATAAGACGCATATAGCTCAAAGTACATATCAATTATTAAGCAGTCTGCTATTTTAATTCGTTTGACCCTGTCTTAACGTCTTGTTATCTACCAACCTTACAATTATGGAATATAATTTTGTCTTGATAGATTTACAAAGCCAGTTAGTTCTACATTCTAAACAAGCAAATTAATTATATTTCGCTCAAGGATAGTGTAAGCACTTTTGTGCATTTTCGTAATTATTTCGTATTTCTTTTGGCTTGTTTCATCAAGTATGACATATTTCACTCGGAATGTTGTTCCAAGTTGTGCTCCAATAATTTTTAGTTATCAAAAACGTTTGAATAGCCAATTTAGTTGTGCATTGGAGCCTAGTAATTCATAAACGGGTGCAAGATATCTTCAATATAGTTTAGTGTCCACTTTCGCTCGCTAACCTTTGAATTCGCTTTTGTGAGTCGACACCACTTTTGATGCCTTCTGAATCTGTTTACCGTCACATATGGATATTTTTCTGAATAATTTTGGTGTGGCTTTATAGCCAGCAGGTCTTATACAAATTTAATGATTCTAGAAAGTCGGCAAACTCGCGTCCAAATGAATCGACATAACTCGTAATTTGGCTGAAGTATTTTAGACTCCCTTACCCGTTTGGACGTATTGGTGTCACGAATACTATTTGTGTTAAACTATTGAATACGTAGAGCCTTGAGACACCGTGTCCGATAGCTCCGTTTGTTATAATCAGGTCACGTTTGTATTAGAGGCTCTGTAAACATGTATAAAGGCATTTACATCTGGGACAGTGTTCGTTCCGCCCAGGTGAACGGACGAGGGGCGAAAGTAAAAGTGTACGTCTGTACCGAAGGTAGTTTCTTCGCGCGTACATTCTATACTATCGTAATAATGACTTATTTACTGCTCTCGCGACTTGTATACTCGTGTTAAGAGAGAACTTGGAGAGAACTTGATAGGTATCTAGTCGTACTTCACTAACTTGTAAGCTTACGAGGTTTTCCAATTCCATTTTAAGATGTACTCATACGTGCATTGACTTTGCTATTCTTGTCTAACTAAGCACGCAGAAGGAAATGGTTGTGAGTTTTCGTTTCAATACAAGTGTTAACAAATCAACGTCTGTCACCTGTAAAATATCTACGCTCGTAGTTTTCACACTAAACTAGGTGAAACACTAATAATTTTGCACCAGCACGAAATAAAGTGTCACGGTTAATGACCTCTTTGACTGATAGTTTTCCATAAAATAGGAAGCTTGCATTAATTTAAATTTTCTTGTTTATCGCACAGATCACGGTGACTCGTAAAAGCGGGTCATGATGGCTATTTACGAGTCACGATATTAAATGATTAAGATGTATGATTAACGATCATTAACCCTTTCTCTTGGCGCGGTGATCATTCAAAAACACGCTACTGTTTATGGTTCAGATTCTATACAACAAAAGTATTCATGGCTTGTAAATAGATTGCCTCACAGAATATGTAACTTGTTTGATATTGATATCTAGACCGTTTTAACGTATCTATTGTCGAAACCATTAACAATCAATATTATGTTACATTTTTATCGAATTTCCTGTCCTGGTTTTACAAAAATTACAACTAGGTACTAGAACCTTCAAAAATACAATAGTCGCAAATAGCAAATATTTGTTATTGTGCTAAGTAGGTGGCACGTAGGATAAATGGTAGTAATCGATCAAATAAAAACAATTGGCTTTTATTTTAATAGAATAGAATGTAAACGGCCTTCGACTCTGCCGATGTGCGACGGAGCGACCAAGGTAAACTATTGAAATTTCAAGTCATTAGGAACTTTACGAGCACTATGTTTGGGCGCTGTGACTCCTTTATTGTACCTATTAAGTTTTTCTGTAACTCATGTAGAGCCGTTTTTATTTTGGTTGGACCAAATAATCAAAACAAGCTTTCTGTTGTAAAATTTAATAATATTCGTGTAATAACACACGACTTAAACCATTTCAAATACACTCACGGACACATAATTCGAGCCACCTTGCATTTTTATCCTTATAGGGCTAGAATATAAAAATATAGTTATCATCGAAGAAAAAGTTTTCTCCGGTTTTTCAAATTAAAATTTTCAATAAGGACTTAAGGGAATGTTAGTATACCAGTTTAAAGT